AAACCACATAAGGCGTGGATTTAAAAAAATGTTCAGGGACAAGGCGTGAATTTTTAAAAAAAATAATCAGGGACAAGGCGTGGATTTTTAAAAAATTATCAGGGACAAGGTGTGGATTTTTAAAAAAATATTTTTTTAAAGAGTGGATTTTTAAAAAATATTTTTTTAAGTAGTGGATTTTTAAAAATGCTTTCTTTCTAATTCTTTCGAACAAGTCTCTCGCCGTGAGAACTTCAGCATAAATTTGATGTTATTTTTGATCTGAAGTAATTGAAGTAGTTGGGACTTCCACTTCGGCCGAAATTTATATCCTCTCGCATTACTTTTGATGAATTATCTAGATTTAGAGGAGTCACTTTAATTATCTTCGTGTTGTCTTCCTCACCCACCCAGAGTTGGTTCGGGATATTTTAAAATTTACTGAGACGGAAGGAGTCGGTTTCCTCAATTAAATCGGGGAGAAGGTGCGCTTGTCTGTTCAGGCTGAAGTTTATGTCATCGAACGTAATGGGGTTGGCAGTGTTTAGAGAAAAATCCGGTAATACAATTGTATTGGTCGAATTATCACATTTAATTATATTATTTCAAGACTTGAGGTTTACTAATGGATTCCATAGAAGTTTCCATAGAAGTGAGGGTTTGAGGCCTTGGCAAATAAGCCGGAACAACTTGTTGAAGCGCCCAGGTATCAACACGACTACTAGAAATTAGTCGGTATATGACTGCAAACCGTGAAACACTGAAGGACGCGAGGACGACTAACACCCAAGCGCTAAGAATACCACTTTAGGAAGGACCTAAGATCTAGGAATTGGTTATTCAGGCCCATCGTTGGTCTTTTGATCATAGGCTCTGTCCGCGACTGCTTATTTGATTCACAACTACCCAATGAATGTTATTGAGATTTCCACAATCTGAGGATGCGACCGGGATCCGACTTCTTAAGTTATTTTTTTGAAATTCAAACTCCAGCTGATGATCTTCTGCAGCCCAAAAAATATCTATATGTCAAAGTAGGGTTTCAGAGGCAGATAGATAAAAACCGTATATTGCCAATAGATCTTGGAAAGGTCTTCGAAATATGTCATAAAAGTAACAGATAATCTATAGGTATTTAAGGGATGGAAGACTCCTTTCCAGGTTTATATTAATATAAGACCTTTTAGAGTCCTATTTTAGGTAAAATACTTCTGATGGCCAGAAGATATTCTGCTTGTATTTTTTTTAATAAATCATAAACGCTCCAATTTGGGTTAAATGAAGCCGGTTTCACGTTGGGCGCCAATAAAGCAGGCTTCACGTTGGGCGCCAATAAAGCAGGCTTCACTTTGGGTGCCAATAAAGCAACTCGTGAGCGAAGCTGGTATGGGCTTCATCCGAAATAACAGGATTTAAAATAATGTTTTTACTCCTTGTTTAGGAACTACTTTCAGCTTATGATCTGAGTCCATTAACTGGGGCAAGCGTGGTTAATGATCTTAAGCTTTCAGTGTACGCTAAACGAATGAATGATCACTTTTCTATATGTGAATCCCAGTTATGTATAACTTGTACTAACTTAAGTCCAATTATATACCCTTAGAGTCAAATACATTCTTCTCAAGATGCCGACAACCCTTCTATAGTTAAATCCCTGGTATAAATGCCTTGCATAAAAACATAACCCATTTGGAACCACTGTCTCCCTAATTTGCCGCATATGGGGTCTCATGAATTAGAAAAATGTGTTATTGTTTTTTTATTATGTATTTTTATTTTTCAATTATTTGTGTGGACTATGGATTTGGTTCATTTGGTCGTTCGCGCTCTCCCACTCTCTCCTATTCTGGCACTCTCTCTGTCTCTAATGCTTTACAAACGGTTTGTTTGTATGAATGAATGTATCGGGCGATTGATGTTCAAATAATGCCGTTTGGATGGATGTGAACGGATGGTTGGTTGGCCATCGTTGTCGTCGTCGTTGTGTTTGTCGGGCAGTCGTTAAATGGTTTGTTTTTGGTGGTGGTGTTTGTTTAGAGATTCACTTGGACGACTGACTCGAACAAATGATGCAATTCAATAAAAATTTGTTCAGTTTGTTGTTGCTGTTGGGTTTTTGGTGTTTTCCAACAGACGCCGCCACCGACGACGTCGACATGAGCGTACATTTGCTTTACCTTACAGCATGATTTACAATTTTAGAAAATCATTTTTTTGAAAATAGAAAAACACTTGCTTGCTTGCACATACTCTCGCACACATACAGGCACAGACACTTAGAGATTTTTTTTTGTGGGATTTTGTTTTCGGTGGCGACACATTTAAGCATTATTACATTTTATTTTACAACAATTTGTTGTTGGAAATAAAGCGGTTGCAGCCAACGCCGCAACAACAACAATTAGTGCTGCCCTGAATGCGTCATATATTCTGTTTTTTTTTTTTTAATTCCGATTCACACTTACTTCATCACGACACACACACAATTTGTTCGATTTCATTTCACATCTCCTCTATTCGATATTTATTTTTTTTTGCCACTTCAAAGTGATTTCGCAATCACAAGGCTTGTTTCGATTTCAATCATTCGGCGGATGGTTTGAGGTTGAGGGAAATCGCTGCCCTGAGTTATTTTCCTAACACACATTTCGTGACGATTTTCCTCTACTTCGCCCCGTTGTTTGCGAAGATTTTCCCCCGTGAATTTTGTAGAAATTTTAGATATTTTCATTGAAGTTCCACAAGTCATTGACGTTTGGCCCTTACCTGTCGGTTAGTTGGTCGCACGGTCGGTCGGTGTTATTCAGGTTTCTGTATTTTTTCTTCTTTTTTTTTTTAGGTGAACCACACTACTTCTTTTTCTCTTGCACTCTTCTTTTTTTGTGTGTGTGAGTGTGTGTTAATACACGTTTCCTTTGTTTTCTATCTTTCTTAAAATAATAGAATATTTTTTCGGCTATTTTTTTAATTTTTTCTGGTTTCACTTTTTTCCACAATTTTTTTTAAATACTATATTTGAGCATCTAATTTTTTTGCTATTAAAAATTAGCAGTAGTCGTCGTTTAGTCAGGTACTGCTCATAAAAAAACAGTATTAACAACAAAAATCGAATGGAACGAATTTTGAAAACTACCCGCACGTAATAGCCGCACTTCTATACTTCACGGGTATCACTGAGATACAAGATACTGGTGCGAGCGGATTGTTTGTGAAAACACACAGTTTTGTATCTGTGTGTGCAGTTTCATAAAGCGGCTTATTTGTTAGTGTGGGTGAGAGAGAAAGAGCATGAGAAGCAATGGAAACGCATCAGAGAGGTATAGGGTTGCCAAATAACGCACACTATTGTTTTGAATGTAAGCAGGGATGGGAGGTCTTTAGTTGCTCTTAATTTTCTTGAAGGGCGGATAATTTAGAGAATAATTTTTGAAGGAGTAGTCAAGACTTGGATTTTTTAAAGAATGTTTTTTCAAGGACCCACATAAGGCATGTATTTTTTAAAGAATATTTTTTTAAAGTACCCACACAAGGCGTGGATGTATTTGTTTTCAAGGACCCACACAAGGCGTGGAACTTAATAAAATTAAAAAACACACTCAAGGCATGGAATTTTTAAAAAATTTCAAGGATTATAAGAGTAAGAGACGTGGATTTTTTAAAGGACTATAAGGGGCGTGAACTTTTTAAAGAATATTTTTTCAAAATAAGGCGTGGATTTGTTTAAAGAATAGTTTTTCAAGGACCAAACAAGGCGTGTATTTTTCAAGGACTATAAAAGGCGGGGATCTTTTAAAGTATATTTTTCAAGGACTATAAGAGGCGGAGTTCTTTTAAAGAATAATTTTCAAGGACTATAAGAGGCGGGGTTCTTTTAAAGAATATTTTTCAAGGACTATAAGAGGCGGGGATCTTTTAAATAATATTTTTTCAAGAATATTTTTCAAGGACTATAAGAGGCGGGGATTTTTTAAAGAATATTTTTTTAAGGACCCACACAAGGCGTGGATTCATTAAAGAATATTTTTTCAAGGACCCACACAAAGCGTGGATTCATTAAAGAATATTTTTTCAAGGACCCACACAAGGCGTGGATTTATTAAAGAATATTTTTTCAAGGACCCACACAAGGCGTGGATTCATTAAAGAATATTTTTCAAGGGCTATCCAAGGCGTGGATTCATTAAAGAATATTTTTTCAAGGACCCACACAAGACGTGGATTCATTAAAGAATATTTTTTCAAGGACCCACACAAGGCGTGGATTCATTAAAGAATATTTTTTCAAGGACCCACACAAGGTGTGGATTCATTAAAGAATATTTTTTCAAGGACCCACACAAGGTGTGGATTCATTAAAGAATGTTTTTTTTTTATGGTCCTTGTTGTCTACATTTGTCAAGGACTATAGAGTATTTTTTGAGGACCATAGAGGACTAGCTTGATCGAGGCATAGTTGTTTTTTCAAGGGCCATAAAGACCTCGATTTCTTAAGGTATATTTTTATAAGGAACATACATGGCAAGATTTCTTAAAGAATTTTTTCAACAACCATAGAAGCCTAGATTTTCCAAGGAATATTCAAAGAACCATGGTCTATATTAGGAATCTTTTTGAGGACCATATAGGCCTAGATTTCTCAAAGAATATTGTTTCTCAATCAAACAACCATATAATTAATTTTATTTTTTAAACATATATATTTTTTGTAAAAAGAAAGATTTTATTTTTTTGAAACAATTGTCTTTAGAACATACAACATAAAAACTAAAATATTGGTTTCATTAAATATAGTATTACAGAGCGGGATAGAGAGAAGGGGATTACGTTTTAAACATAAAAAATATCATTTTATTACAGTGGTGGTGATTTTATCATTTAAAGGCCCACGGTGAGGCAAAACCTAATCGTAAATACATAACTCGTTTGTTGTTGCTGCAGTTTTTTGTTTTTCGTTTTTAACATTTTAAACCAATGATTATTTTTCTCTAGATTTTTTTGTTGGTGTTATTAATTTCTTTTCTTCCTAAATATGATTACATTTTATTGCTAACGAAATATAGGTATGCGAAATTTATGATGGCAAACCCAGTGTTTTGCGTACCAAACGTTTGGCTATCTGATTGAATTCTTCGCGTTTTTCACGCCACATTATAGCTGCATCGACATTGGCACCAGATTCATCATTAGGTTCTGTAGGAAGAGAAATAAACAAAGGGAAATTAGTTTATAAGAAAAAAGGAAAAAAATGAAGCAGATTTAAATATACAACTAATAATAAGACATATAAACTGCTTCGAACGATGTGTGACATGGTTATCTGTGTGGCTTCTAGAAGAGTTTCCTGTTATCCTTGTCACATTCGATGTAATACAATGTGAGAAGCAGTAATTTATCTTTCACAAGGACGATGGACTTATATTAATCAACACCTTTTTAATTTCAATTTAAGCTGGGAATATTTTAATATTTTATAATATAGTTTCCAATTGTATGCGCTTTTTTGAAAATTAAGGTGAGGCCCTTACACGATGTTATTAATTTCTTATGTTTTGGAAAATCATATCCTTACTGAACACTAATATTTTGAATTTCAATTGACAACTTACCGGCTAACATTGATACAACACTTAGTAAAATTTTTTCCACACTTTGTACGGGACTCCAACGTTCGGCTGATGATTCATAGCCCATGGGATCATCACCGGGGGCATGTAATATTGATATGCAGACACGGCCATCAGCAAAGACTAGAGTATAAAATTAAAGTACAATTTAAATATTAATATGAAAATATCTATAAATTTCGAACTTACTATTTGGATGAAACATTTCACAGGTGAATTTCATTTTTGGCGGACTTAGGGGATAGTCTGGTGGAAACACCAAACGGGCAGGAAACACACCACCTTCAAAACATGTTCCTTCGGGGCCACTGAAATAGAAAATATTACATGTCTTTAAAATATAAAATAAAGGTAGTTTAAAAAGTTCTGATACGTTGGGTGTTATGGAATGGGGAAATTTAAAATCTACCGAAACTAATCAATAATATTATATTAAGTTTAAAAAATGTGTTTTTATAACATAGATATTTTATTCTTATTTAATATATTATTTATTTAAATCTCTTCCGCTTGAGCGAGACCTTTATAAGGCGTCTATCAATAGATGTCTTTTAAACTAGTTTCTTCATTGACTAGTCTTCTGTCTAGAGAGCTTTACAGGGTATTCTTATAAAACCTTTTGAGACCTATATAGAATATCATTACCATAACCCAATGAGGTTCTTATATCAATAGAAGAGTAGAAGGTGTAATCTTTAGAAAAATTTTAGAATATGTTGTGCCTTTTGGATGTGTTCCCAAAAGTTTTGTCTATAGAAGTTTAAAAGAACTGTCTACAAAATACCTTTGTAATGCTCTTTGTATGTAGAAGACTTTTCCACACTTGACTGCTACCCCCACACACATTCAATGTATGGGTCACTAGAGTCTAGCTGAAGTGTACTGGACAGAATGGAGTAATAAGAATGCAAGTCCCCCACCTCCGCTTTTGGTATAATAATTAACACAACGTTGTAACCATCGCAACGCTGTAAGCTACAGCTTGGTTTCCTGAATCGCACCGGTAATTATTCTCCTTCGACTCATAAACTCCACAATTTCGCTGATCTTGTTGCGAAGACTATCGCTGTTGAACTGCAAGATCGATGCATTCTATAGTCGCGGAACAGCAATATGCGGTTTTAATTGCTGCAGGTTTTGCTGTTGAGGAGACTTCGGGAGTGTCTCGTATTCCCACGATTCAGATGACGAATCGGACGACGACTCCTGAGACACCCTGGGAGACGTACTAGCGCAGCATGAATCGACGTAATTCCTTTCGCAGTACTTCTGGATGTGTTTTAATTCAGAGCAATATCGAAAATACACCTATTTCTACATCCATTGCATCTCACCGAGATTGATCTATGGTGGATACGGATTCTGCAAACACTGCAGAATCAAAGTCCAGGGTTACTTTTAATCCCGGCACGGACCACAAAAGTTCGGAGCAGGCATTCCGGGAATAATGCCGCTCCCATGACAAAAATGACGCACACGAACATGTATTTGTTGAGGTGGCAGCCTCTGGTCATGATTTCCCGATTTGATTAGGACCTTGTACTTAATATTTGCATCAAACTGATAAGGCCGTGAAAAAATAAAAGCGTAGAAACGAGTCGCGGATAATTTTGAAACCTAAGAGCCCTGAAAACTATACACTTTTTCCAAAGTTCCGCTGAGACACTTTCGTTTTCGTTTCTTTTAAAATTCACTAAGATAAAATTGGTATTAAGCGACTAAAATCCTGATTACAAAAATGTTTTTTGGAGTTTTAACACTTCTTAAAAATAGTATGCTTCCGAAATTCTACTGAAAACTTAACATAGATTTCCTTCAATGAAGAAAAAAGTATATCTAGGGCATATGGTAACAAATACATAACGATCCGCGAACTGGCCTTATACGTTTGGCCAAGATTGTAAAATGGCTGAACACAGTAAAAGGTGAAATTTTTCATTTATTACCACAATCCCCTTTAGTCTCATACCAGAAGTTATGTGTAAAATTAAAATACGCCCAACATTAAAATAAACATTTACTCAACTGACATCATACCGAGGTTTTGACAAAAAAGTTAAGGATATTTATGGATTTCTACTTCTTGTAGTAACTGTCGCATATCCAAATATTCACGGCTAATGCTCGGCCCACTCTAACCATACGACGCAAATAAACCTATTTCTGGAAGAAAAGACACATTACTTACGCTATTAATGCTTCCCATTCGAAAAAATTGTCTTCACTGACTGGGCCGGCCACAATACCATCCGGTGGGTCCAAAGTCAATTCTAAAATCGAAAAAATGAAGTAAATATATCAGAAATCTAAATTAAAAATTGCAATATCATTGTATTTTCGAGACGTTTAAACAAAGAAACAAACATCCAGTTGTTGTGCAGCCAGATGGTCAGTCGGTCGGGTCGCTCACCGTCCGACCAACCACCTCTACGGCCTTTACTCTTACGTTTATATTCTGCCATAAGTCTTCTCAGTGCTGAACCTGCCATGTTGATGTTTACGTTGTGAACTTTCTGGTTGTCTGCTTTCTGGCCTGACTTCGATTTACCTTGCCTGCAGTTCTTTTGTTTTTTATTTTTTGCTTTATTTGTTCGCAGTTCGTTCTGTTTGTTACGTACGTACGTCGCACTTGCTGATGGTGCTATTTGCTGTTAGCGTGCGCTGACTGCGCTGCTTGCAGCGTTGATCCGAGAAATAGGTTGGCTGTCTGCTGATGACAATTCTTTTTTGTTTACTTTGTAAATGTCAAGTTTTTATGGCGAAATTGTTAGCAATTCGACAATTACTTTAAGATTTCGTTAGATTATTTATAAAATCCTAATAATTGCTTATAATTTGGTGTATTATTTTCTTATTTTAGACAAGAAATTTTGTACGATGTTGAATTGTTAAGTTCACGAACGAACTAGTTCAATTGAACGTTTCTCACAGAGTTGTGTCGTGCGGAACAAATTCGAACCAAAGGAAATACTCTCTGAAATGAATGGTCGGAACGATTTTCATCTTAGGTCATTCCATGGCCCAAGAAATAGGTCGTTAGAAGCGAATATTATCGGTCATTTTGGAAGAAATTCCTCAAACTGTCAAATTTTCTGTTTACGTTTTCACACGATTAAGTCTAAATTGAAATCATTTTTTCTGGCTTTATCGGACGACTTTATTATTGGGCCATGGCTCATTCGTTCCACTGGTTTCTTTGTTTCGCCTAGCTGACTTGGCTCAGTCAAATTCATTTCGCCGGTTGATATATATATATATATATATATATGTCCATAAGTCAAATATTATCTACGGGATTTGTGAATAGGCTTAATGTGACGTATACGCATTGAAACGTTTGAAATTGAGTGGATTTAGTAGTCTAAACGTGCTCTAAGGATAAAAATGTATTTAAACGTGTAATAGTGGTGTGACAACAATGGCGATCCTATAGAAACTCAAAATTTCATTTCGCATAAGGCCAATAAACTATCATATCGAATAAAGGTCTTCTAATCGACCATAAAATCTTATTTACTCTCCAGATCATCACAAAATATCGTAAGGATTTACTGGATTTTGTTTACCCAGTGGCTTTAAATTGTCAATGCCTATAAGTCAAATAAATCCTCAAAAAGTAGTATAAGTAAAAAGTTCTAATATACAAGCCGTTTTATAGAACGCCAAAATTCTTCTATAGAACACTTGATACGTCATCTTATAGAAATCCAAAAGTTCTTCTTACCGAACCAATGTCATTTTTCTTGTCTTGTTGTAGAAAACCGGCATGATTCTATAGCTGTCAAAATTTCTATTTAACTTGTTTTATTTTTCCACTAAACCTTACTCAGAAACTTCTTACCCTCTCAAGGAAACCTATTGTCAAAAGTAAACGAACAAAAACGAACTAAAATCTAGTAATGAAAAATCTGATCTACAAAAATGTACTTTTCACTCTAAAAACTTGTTTTAGCGCTCAATAATCTGGAAACTCTCAGAATGCAAAATCTGCTCTCTTATTTCATTTTAAGGAATATCTATATTTGCAGATCATTCATACTTTTTAATATAGCATTACCTTGTAATGAGGTATCGCTTTATGGAGATCATTTCTATATATTTGGGACATAAGAGCCTTGTAGAAGGTTACTTATTTATTTATGGATCTATAGATTTTTCACTATCCAATGAAGCCAAAAAGCCCCTGGAAATTTCCGCTTTTCAAGGATCTGCAATTTTTTCTTTAATTTTATTTAACATTTAATTTCAATCCATTACAAATAAGAGTTCGGTATATCCCTTCTCAATACTTTATTAGCACTTGTATACAATTAAAATTGAAGAGATTTTATGTGACACAATATCTGTTGGTATGTACCTTATGGGAGTTTTTAATAAAAAATTCCCAGTCCCATCCAATGGCATATTATTTAATGGTTTCGCTTGATTGTTAGCTGATGTTGTTGTCTGTCAGTTTATTTGTGAAGTTATTAGTCTGTTTCCGTACTCAAAAAGTGGTAAAACTTTTCAAAAATTTCAGGAAAAATCTAAAATTGTTCGCCTATTAAAATTTGCTTCGTATTTGTAGGAATTCGTCTTCTGTTATTAGAGCTATGGCCTAAATAGAAAATTTGAATTTAAATCTGAAACAAAACAGGGTGTTTCATAAGACTAAATATCTAATAGAGCAGTAGTGGTTGGCAATGCGACATTGCTGTTAGGAACAACAATAAAACAGGGTGTGTCAGATGAAATATATTTCGAAGGTTATTTGTAGTTGGCAATGTTATTTTGTAACTTTTATTCAGTTGTGAAAAAATACATTTAAATTACAAATTTGAATAAATTGCGTTTATACAAACTGAGACTGGTCACAGATGGAAAATGTATGTGGTAAAAATAACCTCTGCGATATTAATGAGAAGAACTTGAAATCAGTCGTTTCGAAGGTATTCAATGAATGTAATATGTATTAGTGGGCTATATAAGGTAGATAATCTTTAAGAATACACTAAATATATGGATCCGACAATTTTTAAATACTGTCCGTTTTGTCATTTGCTTCAAAACAAGTCAAGGAGTTGGTAAATATATCACGTGTTTTCAGACTGTAATTTGGAATTCTCGATTCTTGGAGGCGAAAGGCTGAACACTTTTAATGTTTTGCAAGCAGTACCCTCGTGTTTTGACCAGTAATTTTAATACATCAAATGTCTTTGGTAACTCTTCTATTGGCCGAAGATTTTCTTTGGATTTCTATACACAGAAGAATATGTATGGGTCTTAAGACTTTTTTTTTGGATATTTTAAAGCATACAAATTAGAAATGGTTCACACCGCCTAAAAAATAATATAGACAGAATCTACAGACGGTTTTCCATAGGCAAAATATCGTCTGAACCTTCAATGCGTCTATAGATGTTAAAATAACGTTCATAAGTCCTTCTGTAGACTAAAACCTTCGATTGATCTTCTATAGACAAAGAATAGCCTGTGGATTCTTTACGAATAGAAGTTCTTCTGTATGTGAGTTATGGTCGGAAGGTGTTTTATAGGCAGAATATATTCGGTAGATAGTCTATTGACGGAAGGCCTTTTGTGGGCAATGGTTTGTATAGTATCCGAAGACATTCTGAAGATCACCAACTTCCCTTGGGGCTTCTATGCTTTGTAGATTTTCTATAGGCTAAAAAGTCGTTCAAAGACAGAAAACCTTATCTTATGCTAAAAGACGTTAACATACGAATTTTTTATATAGTGCAATTACAGATGACCTTCTGAATTTTTTTCTCTCTTTTATAAATAGAATACTGCTGTATATCTTCTATCGCCAGAAGATCTTGCACAGTTTTCTATAGCAGAAGTCATTTGTAATTCTTAAATGTGGTAAAAAAGTTCTGTAGGTCACTTGTAGGTTGAGGGGCTACAAATAGGTCTGAAGATCTTTTGTGAAGAATATTCTTCAAACAGAAAAAGCGAACCCTCTATCTGAAGAAGATTTTCGGTATATTTATGACCTATAGAAGGTATTATGACTATATATGACCTTCAGAAAACTACCTGTCCTACTGGGATCTTCAAGAAACATTACGGAAGTTATTTTCGTGGATTTTGTATTTTGAAAAAATATTCCTTAAAACATCCACGCCTTTTATAGTCCTTTGAAAAATATTCTTTAAAACATCCACGCCTTTTATAGTCCTTTGAAAAATATTCTTTAAAACATCCACGCCTTTTATAGTCCTTTGAAAAATATTCTTTAAAACATCCACGCTTATTGCTCTGATAGTCCTTGAAAAATATTCTTTAAAAAATCCACGCTTATTGCTCGCATAGTCCTTGAAAAATATTCTTTAAAACATCCACGCCTTTTAGAGTCCTTTGAAAAAGTTCTTTAAAAATACGCCTTTTATTTTTGAAAAATATCCACAGCCGTTTATAGTCCTTTGAAAAATATTTTTCAAAAACATCCACGCCTTTTAATGTTTTAAAAATAATTTTCAAAGGACTATAAAAAGCGTGGATTTTTAAAGAATATTTTTCAAAGGACTATAAAAGGCGTGGATGTTATAAAGAGTATTTTCAAGGGACTATAAAAGGAGTGGATGTTTTAAAGAATATTTTTCAAAGGACTATAAAAGGAGTGGATGTTTTAAAGAATATTTTTCAAAGGACTATAAAAGGCGTGGATGTTATAAAGAGTATTTTCAAGGGACTATAAAAGGAGTGGATGTTTTAAAGAATACTTTTCAAAGGACTATTAAAGGCGTGGATGTTTTAAAGAATATTTTTCAAAGGACTATAAAAGGCTTGAAAGATATTCTTTAAAAAATCCACACCTGATAGTTTTAAAAAATATTTTTCAAAGGATCCACGCCTATTAAATAGTGGATTTGAAAAAATATTCTTTAAAAGAGGACCACGCCTCTTGTAGTCCTTTGAAAAATATTCTTTAAAACATCCACGCCTTTTATAGTCCTTTGAAAAATATTCTTTAAAAAATCCACACCTCTTATAGTCCTTAAAAAAATATTCCTTAAAAGATCCACGCCTCTCATAGTCCTTGAAAAAATATTCTTTAAGAAATCCACGCCTCTTATAGTCCTTGAAAAATATTCTTTAAGAAATCCACGCCTTTTATAGTCCTTGAAAAATATTCTTTAAGAAACCCACGCCTTCCTTTACACGTCCTTAAAAAAAATTTTTAAAAATACACGCCTCGTTGAAAAAATTCTTGCAAAAAATTCTTTAAAAAATACAAGCCTCCTTGAAAAAATTCTTTAAAAAATACACGCCTCCTTGAAAAAATTCTTTAAAAAATACACGCCTCCTTGAAAAAAGTTCTTTAAAAAATACACGCCTCCTTGAAAAAGGTTCTTTAAAAAACCACGCCTCTTATAGTTCTTGAAAACAGTTCTTTAAAAAACCACGCCTCTTATAGTCCTTGAAAACAGTTCTTTAAAAAACCACGCCTCTTATAGTTCTTGAAAACAGTTCTTTAAAAAACCACGCCTCTTATAGTCCTTGCAAAAATTCTTTAAAAAATACACGCCTCCTTGAAAAAAGTTCTTTACAAATTACACGCCTCCTTGAAAA